TAGAACGAATGATCAGAGTACAGGTGTCTGGTTGTCCCAAGTGGTATAGTAGATTAACACAGTATGGTAGAATAATGTACTTCTGAAAATATACATTAAAAAACTTTATAAACTAGCAATTTGTAAATGATCTGAGTTGGAATATATGGAGCAATTTAAAATTTGCCATGCACTGAATCATTATAGTATATCACACAGACCTTGACTTATGAGTATTTGTTTAACAATAGTTTGAAATTATGATGGCACTCAAAAACGTGATTTACAATCATGTAATCACAATTTGGGTGCTTGGCATCTGGCTCACATTTACAACCCTGCAGTGAGCTGTGATCACATAATTGTGATTTGCTACGTTCTCAGCTGGCTTCCAACAAGTAAAGTCAACTGGATTTGCTTAACAACTGTGTGTTTCACTTGACTGGGTTAAAAATGGTCATAAAATTGGGTTTGGTTATATAGTGGCTCAATGTCTGCATCACTTATTGTCCAAAATTCCAGTCCCAACTGTGTGTGTAGGTCCAGTACTACCTGTATTATACTACATATTGTGAGCTACTAGTAAGACAATAAAGCTATATTGAAACCACAGTTTGTAATTCAGTGTAGAAGTACTGTAGGTTGAATTCTGAACACAAGTCTAGTGTAGTATTCCTATTTTTGCCACCAATTATGCTTAATATTTTTCATATTTTATATATTAATTTGAGATATAAGAACCAGTACTAAGTTACTCAATTTTTTCATTAATATTTCGTAAGCATCTAGAATGTGACATTTCAATAATGCTATGATACAGTAGAGCTACATCTTTCAGATTAACCTCTTCTCATTAATCTCTATGCCAGAGAACACAGCTAATAATGCATTTAAGACTCTAGACCAGTCAGCTGCTGTTCAAGGGGCAGCTGGTCAGGAGAGTATTCCCACAAATATATCTTGTAGACCAGTTGTGTCACAAGACTACTACAGTACAGTCTAGGTGGATTACCCTTGAAGAGCATTCAGAACTAATGTAGAATTCATTAGCACATGCAATATTGGGTGTCATAGTACACCCAACTGACAAGGCTACATGAGTTACATTGATTCCTGGTAGGCTTCCAAGTGCAGTTCAAGGTTCTGGTGGTCACTTCTAAAGCCCTGAACAGCATGAGGCTAGGTTATTTGCAGAACCCAATGGTTTCTACTGATCTCACTGGATAATAGAGTGAGCGTGCTCTGAGTCTCATTTCTAAAGCAGTGACTCTTGATGGCTCCTATGAAATGTGCTTTCTCTGTCATAATACCTGTCTTATGGAACAGCCTCCCCTGAGATATAGACAGCACTGGCCCTGGTAACCATCCAGAAGGCCATGAAAACCTCCTTTACTCCCATCCCAGGGCATTGAGTTTAAGATGTTAATGGAACCTTAGCACAGGTATGACCATATTTGATATATCAATAGTGAGATTTTTAAGGGCCTCAATCAAGTTTTTTCGGTAATGGATTTGTACATTTTGGATGATGTTTTTATTTCTCTTCACTGCCCAGAATTCCTTTGTTAGATGAGCAGTTATATAAATGTGTTCAAAGAATAAATTATGTCTTCTAATTCTTTTGGTTCCAAGCAAATTCTGAAGATCATTGGCTTGATCTTGAAAATCCAGTGTTTTCTTTCATACCGTCTTGTCTCAGATCTAGACTTTTCAGTTTTAAAATAAAAATGATTGCACTTGGTGTTTATAAAATTCGTGGTACTTATAAAGTCACCTTGTATCTGTCCTTAATTAATCATAGATGCCATTAAATCAGGTTCAACTCCTAATGTTTGCATGGATGAACACTCTATTTTGACTTATCTCTAGCAATAGTTGGAAACTGCATTCACTCCAAAATGGAAGTTGGATGGATAGAATCTATATGATGATACCTGGGATAACTTTGATCCTTTGCGTATCCAAGAGCAAAGTTCTTGATTATCTAAGAATGGGCAGAGTTCTCTGTGATCTAAGCTCTGCTACATGTGGATTGGATCCTTACTACCTTGCTAATGAATATCACTGGAGGGGGAGGGACTGAATTGGATTCAGAGTGTAGTCAGTGCTTCTTTGAGGGAAGAGTAGCTCTGACAGAGACATCAGTTTTCCCATTCTTCAAGAAGCCAGTCTGAATCCAACAGAAATGGATAACTGCCATCCTGTCCTCAAAATCTCCTTTTTTGGGAAGAATATTGAAAAAGTGCCAGGACTAAAATTTGTCCTTGTCCTCCTAAATTTCTCAATGTTTGTTAACCACAGCATATGTAGATTACCTTAGAGTTCTAAGAGTTGGAGGTGGCGGATTACTCCAGTCTTAGTGTGCATGTCCAATAAGCCAAAAGTTGAACCCTCAAATATTCCCTTATATGAGTACTATGAGGCCTCAGGGCTTTCCCTTATCCTATTTAGTATTTTCATGAAGGTGTTGGAAGATGCCATGCACCCATTAAAATTGAAATTAGTATGTTGATAACGTCTAGTTGTATAACTTTACTCATCACTGCTTTTAAAGCCTTAAATGGCCAGAGAGCACCTATCAAGGATCTCCATCTGCATGATGAGAGGAGCATGATGAGAGGAGGCTTGGTGGAAAGCATTCTCTGTGAGGGTTCCACCCTATGGAACAGCCCATTTCTTGGGGCTAGTATGAGCCTGTGCTAATGGCCTCTATAGTTAGTAAAGAAATGATTCTTCCAGAATACCTTTAGCGTTGTGGGGGCATTGATAATAAAATTAGTGTGTATGCATAAACATATTGTACAGTATATGAATGCATATGTGTTTGTACAGTATGTGTGATATGTATGTATGTATGTATGTATGTATGTATGTATGTATGTATGTATATGTATATGTATACATAAGTAATTTGCATAAGTAAAATAACACATAGCTGTTCTAAGAATTTTCTCAAATTTCTTAAAATCCAGTCATTCACTTTATCTGTAGCCTTCCCTTTCTTAAACTTTTGTCAACCTTGTAAAGCCTCTCCCTGCCCCCAGCCCATCCATTTGAATCAGATGCTCAAACTATGATGATTAAGGAAATGGTCAATCTTTGTCTGATCCCAGATTGACTATTTTTTTTTGCAGTCCATGGTAAACTTCTTCAAAATATATAAATGAAAGGATCCCCAGTATTTTTCTGAATCTCCCACTTTCACAGCTATACCTATCTATAGCATGTATAGTAATCTCACTGTTTAGCTCAGAGTTGAACCACAGATCTTGATAGAAGCCCTTCCTTGATTTAAAAAAAAATTATGTACAAATAAGAAAATCTATATATTATTTTTCTAACCCACTATTGTGAAGTCAGCCTTGATAGAAATAGTCTCACCAGTGCTGGATTCCTTTAAAGTGAGGAGATTCTATTAGTTTGTCATTCAGGGTTTTTTGAGTTTCTCACCCCCTGTAGAGAAAAGAATTCAGGAATGATTTAAGGGAAAAGCAGGAATTAAATGCATTTTCAAAAATATTTTTGATTTGTTTGATGGATTAAATTGGATCCCTTTCCTTCATCATGCCTTGCCAATTCAATTCAAAATATTGCCTCTCCTTTTTATGAGTAACCCTTTAAGGATTGCATAATTTTAACATGCTTGCTTGACTGAGAAAATAACTTATACGTATTTTTTATCCTATCATATGGCAATAGAAAAATATATTGAGTTATTACTAGCCAATTGTGTATTTCTATTGGCAAGAGATGCTAAATAAATTTGTGTTTGTGGCTCCATCTTAAGTAGATAACAAATATTTCACTTCACTGATAAATGATCCCCTTTCTTTTGGGATCAGCTGTCAAAAGTGTTTCAGTACTCCTCATCTTATCAAGCACTCTCATTTCTTTCAACAGAAGCCTGTCTATAAGAATTCTTGGGAGCTGAATGGAGGCATATAGAAAGTATGCCTCCTTCGTTAAATATGTGCACAAGATGTCGTATTTTGTAAACTATTAAGAATCCAAATCTCTGGCCCAAAATAGCTTACTCTTGAATGTCCTTGCGTAAGAATCACTTGGCATTTCTTAAGCACATTTTACTAATATCACTTTTTTCATAGTCCAAATTGTTAATCAACTAAAATGACATTTTACATTTCAAAAATGAAGAAAATTTAACTCACACAAGTTCTTGTGGAACACACAAGAAATTGAAAGCCATTGAAAACTGACAAAAGTCATTAAAAACTGGCAGAATTTTACTAAAAACATTTTCCACAAAGAAGTTCATGCCATTTTCTTCTCTTCGGGTATGTGAAATATGAATTTCAATAATTGAAATAATAAAGCCTAGTTTTTGAGCAACTTATCATTACTATTCTGGTATGTTTGTACTCTATAATATGTAACAGAAGATCTACCAAAACCAGATTCTTCGATCCATAACTGATTTGTTACACAAAAATGCGATATACATATTTGCTCTAAAATGTTTAAAGTTGGTCAATTTCCTTTCAAAATTGAAAAAAATAGACTATTCTTTTTCCAAATGTAATTAAGTTTGTTATTAAGATTAAAACTGGATGTTATAAAAAGGATAGAGGTTTCTTAGTTATCTTATTTTGAGAGGTAAGTCTGAAGAGAGGTGCCCATAGTATTTTCTGCCTTATGTATCAAAGTAACTTGATTAATTTGGAGTATATTATGCCTTGTTATGGCTGAGAGCAAGGCATCATTTGTTGCTCTGTATCAGCCAGTGAAATCATTTCGGTCAATACATAATTTTCTGTTCTGCATATATCTGGGATGATTTCCCTCTTCTGTTTTAGGAAGGTAAAATGCTCTTACGTTGAGTAGGGAGAGTTGGTCATATGCTAAGCAAAAGCCATTTATAGGAATACAGATTACTACTGTATACATTACTCTTTTTTTTCCCCTCTCCCCACTTTGCCTCCCCCATCCCCACCCAGTGGCTGGAATGTTCTGGGACAGTCAGCACAGAAATGTTTTGATGCCCTATCTTGTCTTTGAAACAGGTTTTGACAGAGCTGAAGTCAGACAATCAGCGGCTGAAAGATGAGAATGGAGCACTCATCCGAGTCATCAGTAAACTCTCAAAGTAGCATATTGAACAAAGGATGGGCAGAAAGAGGAGATTTCTGTGCACAAGCTGCCAACCCTGCCACCGACTTCCGATCTTCCAGTTGAAAGAACTGCTGGCAATTTAGCCATGGACCAGTTGGCAACACACACAGCTCCTTGCACTTGCTGGGCATTTTTATTTTGCACAGTGCTTACCCCACCCCTTTCTTCTAAAAGCATGCCTCACCACAAGTTTATTATTTTTACAATATTGAAGTAATTTATTCAAAGGGACAAAGAGTGATTGGCACTGTCTGAACTACTCAAACCATCTGCTGTAAACCCAATATGCATCCAACCTTAATCTGATGTAAAGAAGTATCTACTGTAACAAGTGTTATAGAAGTGACTATAGTGTCGATTGAACATGTCTTAAGATACTGTCATGGAATAGGAATAGGGAATGAAATGGAATTACTCTTCCTTCTGGAATTTGGGAGTCTGCAGACTGTGAAAAACTTGTTGGTTTATTTCTTTGGGAGTCTCATAATGGTGTCTTGCCTTGGAAACCATATTCTACATATTTCTCAGTACTTGACTGATTTATTTAATGTTAGATTTGAAATCAGTTTAATATTGGGGCCCAATAATTGTTTTCTCCTTTCCATCTTTCCTCAAGATGCTTCCTACTGGGTTTTCTTTTTCATGGTTGCTTTCTCTAGGACTGTTTAATAGATTACACCTTATAACTGTCACATTCATTAGCATTCTTTTTTTTTCAAGAATTCTGACGGAAGGACATCCAACAGCAAAAATTGCTTAGGGTGGATTTCCACTTGTATAAAATATCCATGCAGGATGTATCTCTGCACAAGATATCAGCGTATCTTTTTATAAGCAAAATGATTCATTTACCAGTGAAGTAATAACATTGCATAAAAATCAGGGCAAATAAGTTGGATTTAAGATAATGTTCATTAGGTGCAAAGTTGAAAACAAGTGTTTTCAGAGTTTAAAGTGGAAGAAGGCTGGTGGCTAGAGGTGCTTTAGTCCTGTGCAAAATGCTGTCTCAAGTCTTGGTGGAAAACCTTGATAAAAATTATACTACTAATATTTGAGAAGTTTAATGCAATGTTTCATTTGCACAGTTGTAAACATAAATGCACTTGTCTTTAATATCAATAGTAAGATCAGTAGCACTCACACTCTGGTTTCTGGTCATGCTGGAAATGAATGCATTAACTTTTATAGATTCTCAGAATACTAGCGGCTTCAGAGACTGTGCTTCTCTGGTTATAACGATGAGATTTCACTTGAAGCACTTGATATATTTTTACAAATCCTGACCACTTTTCTTTTCTTTCTTCCTTTATATTCCAAAGCATGATGTCACATTTTAAAGCTATACTTTTTGGTCTGGATTTAGTCAGTTTTCACAACTGATTAGAGCAGAGTCTTTGGGATTTAAGAAAAGCAGCTTATACATAGATACAAGTGAGCAGTAGTACTTCAGACCTTTTTGCCATCATTGCTCAATGGTGAACACAATATGGCTTTTTAAAATCTATTGTGGACTACTATAACAAAGAGGTGACTGATCTTTTCTCTTTCATCTTTTTGCTCAGTATTCTCATGTATTCCTCTTGCTTTTACTGGCTACAAAGAAATGCAGAATTCTGTCAAGAGCCAGGAGTTGCCACCTATGAACTGACTAATTCAGATATTGGTTGTCTGATGTAGTGATCAGTGCATTCACAATACTTAGAGTAGAGGTCTTCAAACTTGACAGCTTTAAGACTTGTGGACTTCAACTCCCAGAACTCTCCAGCCACAAGTCTTAAAGGTGCCAAGTTTGGGGACCCCTGACTTAGAGCTTTCTAATATAGCTCTGAGGTTCTCAGTAGTCCTTTGGTTTCCTCTGTCCCCCTTTTTGGGAACTTTGGATATTGTCCAGATTTCAAGGTATATCTAATTATATGTGAAAGTTAAATACATTTTGTCATTGTAATGAATTTTATTCATGATATTGCCTTTCCACTGCCTAACTCATTTCAGCCCCATAGAGGATTGTAGAGAGATATGAACAAAAGATTTTTAGTTGGTCCTGTCAAACTCTACCATAAACAGTCATGGAAATGAAAAAAAGAATCATTCTGTAAGAGTTCCTGCATAGTACTATTGCTATATTATGCCTGGAATATAGTAACTTAAACCAACCTTAGTTTTAATATCCAAAAATCTAAGGACAAATATAAATAAGGCCTACTATGAAGAATTGTGTCCTATCTAGTCAAGAGTTGGAATTAGATCAAATTGAATTTTGCCTAGAATTGCCTGATCTGATTAATCATGAAACAATCCAATATGCTCACCATATTTATTTTTATTTTTTTGCGGGTGTGGGGGGCAATCGGGTGAAAACAGATTATTCCTTAGGATGTCATTAAGGTGAATGGCAACAATCAACATCTTAACATTTTAGGCCTAAAATATTTTTCTTATAGGATTTCAAACCATCTTCAAACTGTTAAATGAACCCATTTTTATCCTGAGGCAAAGAAAATCTTAGTCCAGTTTTAAAAGCTGAAATATGAACGAGATTTGTTCCTTCTCTCAAAAAATGATGAAAGGAAAATCTTGAATGGGAGTTACTTATTTCAACAATATAACTACCAATTCAAGAACTAGTATATGTTTTAATATCTTATTTTAAAATTTTCATTTGAAACCAGGAAGTATTTTCAAGAAACTTCCTGATTTAATGAAGGGCTGAATGTGTAGATAGGCAAAAGGCATATTCATGTTTAAATCAAATTATTTTAAAGTTTTTTATATGATCAAGTAAACTAGCCTGAAGAATTCAGGACTCCTTGTTTTTAAAGGATATCAAGAACAAAAATATTACTCCTCTCACTGGTTATTGCTCTGACCCAATTAAGTTTAGATTTAGATTAATGTTCTGTTTTAATTGTTCAGGCAGCTCAAATGTTCTCTCCATAAGCTGCAAATGATAGAGGAGAATGTTGAAAGTTTAGCCTGTGACATGAAAGCTTTCAAGCTTGTGGATGATAGAAATTTTTATTTAAAATGGGAAATGAATGGTTCTGTTTTGGTTCTTGTTCCTGAAAGCAGTCACCAATGAATTTTTCCATCTCTTTAAGATTTTAAAAATCCTTGTGCAAGTGCTTTAAGAAGCATAAGAAGAAGCACAATTTTATTTCTTGCAAATGGGGAAGTTCAGTGGGATTTGTCTAGTAAGAATTAAATTTCATATGAAACTAGAGGTACTACATGTTAAAAGAACTAAGTATAGGAAAACAAACATAAATAGGGAAGAAAGTCTTTATAGCCATTTAGTGATAGATTGGTTTACGAGAAGGCTCTCTTCCTATGGATAAGCTGCTCATAGAACACAAAAGGATGAGGGAAAGACGGGTACGTAGGTGCAAGAGCAAGTATATATGAGTACATTTGAATTTTAAAAAGTTTGTTTAGTATTTATTTGTTTCTGTCCATATTGCTTTACTGTTAATGGAAACAATTCATGGATGAAATCTGGATGATCAGGGAGCATTAGATGAATCTAACTTGATCATTTTCCAATGCATATGCACTTGATTTTTACTATTGGAAGCTAGTGCAGAATCATTGATATATCACTTTCTTCTTTTCCCTTAAGGGATGTTTATATTAATAATTACCATTTAAAACACTTATTCCCATGGAATAATTCAAAGTATAAGGCTAATCATGTTGCTGTTTGCTGATAAAGCATTAAATATAAATTAAATACAATCCCTGGGCTATCACTGATATATAAAGATTAAGGTTTGATATTTCTTAGGACAAAAATGAGATACCTGCGGCCCTTCAAATGTTCCTGAAATCTCAGCATCCCTCACCATTTAACATGATGGTTGAGACTTCTGTAGTTCAATAATTTCAGGAGCCTTCACTTCCCCCATTCCTGCTTTAGACTAAAGTTAACATTTGTCCCTAACTGAATGATATAAATGTAAAGAAAAATGTAAAGTATATATCCCTTCTGGGACCTTTAAACAATTCCCCAGCCATAAAAATATTTTGTTATTGGGAAGAGCAAAATGTAGTCCTTTGCCCCCATTTAAACCTGATCCATTGGGTCATCAAGTTCTCCTTTCAAATTACTAGGATGCTTTTCGAAAAGTAACCAAAACCTTCCCCAAATTGTGAAGAGTTTGAGGAAGAGTGCCCCAGTGTGCAGTACATCAGGAAGCTTTCCACAGTGTATATACAGATGTGTCTCAACACATCCCTCTCAATTATTCTAGTGCTTACCAGAACCTAAAAATGAACTTGTTTTGACAGGATTTTTCGCAAGCAAATTGAATGTCCTGTCACAAAGAATGTACTTCGTCCTTGTCCACTCTAATATATGCATTTTTATGAAGTCCCTCAGCTTTGGTACAACAGGCTTCGTTTTCCCCATCTTTGACCTTCCAGCTCCACTCAGCCTGCTGCCATATTAGCTGACCTGGGAGAGAAGCTTCTGACTTAGGGATATTAAAAATGGGAAGCAGAAGGTCTGTATCTCAAAGGCAACTATAATATCTTTGTTTCAAGCTTTCAGTTTCCCAGGGCTTTTTCTTTGAATGGTGTGTTTTGATCACATTTATTCTGTGTTTGAAATCTTTTTGTGTGATTCTACTAGAGGCAGCATGTTCCAAGAAGAGTTTGTTTTTGTTTTTTTTTATCAAGATTACTTCTGAGCAAACTTACTGATAAATTCATCCATTCCCCAAGATTTCTTTATTTCTTGGGGCAAGTTGAACTCTGGGTGAATATAACTTTGTAGGTTCTTGAACCAACAGAAAGGTTAAAATCCGCTGTGTTATCTTTCCACTCCTGACTCTTTAGTATATAATATTGAGGAAAGTCAAAATCCCTTACTGTAAAAGCTATTCCTGAAAAAAGAACATCCTACTGTTGGCTCATTAACTTCCCACATGCAAATATTCAAAGTGTTATCTGTTTTTAAAAAACCTTTTACAGCTCTTTGTAAATAACTAATTGGAGAAAAGACTGGCTTGTGTGTGAAGGAAGAGAATGTATTTTTATGCAACTTTTTTTGAGTGGCCTTCCAAATTTTGAGATGAATGCTTTTGTTTTCCTGATTGTTACATAGTATTCTAAGTATTATATGTTTGAAAGTTTGGGAATAATATTCACATCTATAATGCTTGTAAACACAACAGTATTTATAAATGAATAAAACAAATGCTTTAACACTGTCCTAATGTTTTAACTAATGAAAGCGTGTTTTCCTGCAGTTGACTTATTTCCTTAATGATTTTCTCTTTTGATTCAAGTTTCCTCACCACGTCATATATTAGTACTGCATTTGTTTGACTCTTAAGAAATAATGCCTAACATCATAGTGCTAAGCATAATCAGATGTAAAAATGAAACCGCGGTATTGAGAATTTGAACAATGTGGTGAATCAAGTTAGACGAGGAATTCTGATAAGGAAGTTAAGCTTGTACAGAAGGATTTCATATTGTGGTAAAATACTTCGAACATTCTGCCATGCTGTTTAAAATGACTTTCTGAGATACAGGATCTGTTTGCCCATTTCCCCCTGAAGTGACAAATAATAAATAAAACTATCTGCCTACAACTTGGTTCAATATGCAAATAGGGAATTTCAGACTCCGGGTCTCAGTATAGAGGCACTAATCTGTGGAGTTCTTGGTGTTCTCTGAGCTTGGTTGTTTTCTTGCAGATGTATCATTACTCAACTAGGCAACCTCGTCAGTGCTAGAAGGGAATGGGCCTTGCTTTATGTTTATGTACAAGTGATTTTCCCTGTCAGTGTTGGTGAGAATACTGATTAGTGTACTTGGGAGAGGCACTAATCTATCAATGAACTTTTAAATACAGAACCTTGATAGACATGAACACATGGCCCTGCTCCTTTGCTTCATTTATTTAAATAGGAAGGCATTTTTCTTCCTAGAGAGGCTGAGCCACTCAAACATTAGGATGGAGAGCATGTTGCATCAAACCATCTTAAAATTCTATAGAGAGTGGTTTTTTAGCACAGGAAGGAACTATTTTCCACAGGATAGGAGGCAAGGAAAACCAGATGACTTTGGCATCTTTATGTGACATTGCGTCCCAACCTGATCAGAGATCGAAGCACTGTTCTATGAACTGCCATCACATACGGCAAAGCTCCTGTCTGACCAAAAGCTGCTGTCAGATGAATCAAAAGAAGGAGGTTTTTTTTTCTTTTCATATTCCTTATGGTGACTTTTTGTCCTTGCTTTATTAATAATTCTTGTAGGCAATTGCTTTTTGTGGGGGAAGACAAATTTTATTAAATCCACAGGGGTGAGTTTGTTTTAATGAGAATTGCTGAAGGAAAGCTACCATCAGCATTCTGCATTGTAGGAAGGGAAATAATTATTCTTAAACAGCACCCACCCAGGGTTTTAATGCAAGAGCAACTGTCATGGCTGCATCTCACCTATGGCAGCAATCTTGTACTAAAAAATGGTCTGTTTTATATAGAATTTATTTATTTATAGAATTTATTTATATATTTAGAAGATATTCAAATGTGATATCAAAAGGTTGGGATATTTTGGAGAAATTGTGTCACAGTAACTGACAAGGACTACTCTATATAGCATGTAATTGGCTGGCAGATACCTAAGGCAACTGAGATACTCATGTACTGGAAGTTGTATTCCCCACTTTTCTAATCTGACAACACAGAGCATTTCCATCAAAACCAAGCAGGGTATTCTCAAACATCTCCATAAAATACATCAGTGATAAATTGTTTATTAGCTTGGTTCCAGAAAAGAACATAAAGTATGTTTACTCTTTTGCTGATTCCAGGTCCCACAAAGCTCAGAAGTCAATTGATGGCTAACAGATTAACACAGTTGGGAGGGGTCTTGTAGGTCATCTAGTCCAGCCCCCTGCCCAAGGAGGAGACCCTACACCATTTCTGACAGATGGCAGTCCAGTCTCTTCTTCAAAGCTTCCAGTGATGAAGCTCTCACGACTTCTGAAGAGTGAAATAAAATCTAATTATTATGCAACCTAACAGTTGAAAAACCACACACAATGGAATTGTCATGGGGATACATTGCTCAATAAAGTGTTTAATACTGTGCATTTCCCCCTAATAGTTAGCTAATCATCCATAAACACTACAAAAGGGTTTTTGATTTGGGGTACTTGTTTGTTTGTGCAAAATTTGAAAAATAGCCAGCATTGGTTGCAGGTTAGTTTGTTAGCATTTTGGAAAGAGACTCCAACAGCAGGAATTATCCATGTTTCTTCTCTAGACAACAGGAGCATGGCATTTTTTTATTGGCATCATTAGCCAGGTTTTAGAAAAATTACAGGTACAGCCACAATGTTCCACATGCCATTCTGATGCCTACGAGCTATACCAGAAGGAATAATCAGGCCCAGTTTCAATTAGCAAAATAATCTGGAAAAGAAATAACTTCTTGTACACAATTGTGCTTATGATTACAGAATAGCACAAGTTGGAAGGACCTCTGCTGTTGATTTGTGAGAAATATGCCTTACTGCAATATTTCCCATTAGCTGCTAATTACTGCTCTTATCTTCCACGTTTCTCCATATAATTCTTAACCCCAAACCAGAAATTCATCACATGGGTGCCCTGAAATGCCAGTGCCCCCACTGGTTGGCAGGTAATTCTTTTTAATTCACTGCAGTCAATGGAATGGCTTTATTGTGCATGAAGAAGCAGGAAAATTTAAGGAAGCATATTGTGCATATGGCTTTCTGATCCAGGCCAACCCAGAAATGAGTCCAAATGGGTGCTCATGCATTTGACTTGACAAAAATGTTTTATTTTGAATCAGGTTCAAATCATTCCTCGGTAGACTACAGGAGCTTCTAAAAAAACTCACCTCCTCCCATCTTCTAACTTAGAGATGATCCAATTTCTCTTTAATGACCTTAACATAAAGTGAGAATACTTCTATCACAACCCTCTAGTTGTAGTTTGATCCATCTATTGCACCTAGAGATCTAAGTACATTTTGTCTAAATTAAAATAGGATTGGAAGTAAAATCTTTTTAATTTGGAGTTCTTATTTATGTCAATGCAAGTGTGATTGCTCCTATGTCAGGAATACATTTTCTAAACACCTTTAACTGCAGAATTGGCAAGCTGATTTGTTTATTTTAAATCCAGCACTTTAGAAATATAAAAGGCAAGCTATGTAGATATGAAAGGAAGGATTGTATAGAAGTCCTGGTGGAAAGATTTCTTACACCTTATGATTGAGATTATATTAATCTGGTGTTTCTCTAACCAACATGTTGTAGTTGTTTTGGACCCTGAACTCCAGTATTCTCAGCCCCAGAGCTAAAGAGAATTTGTCTTACAGGGATAGCAATTTTTAAGTCGTATAATGAGACAAAATCTCATGCAGCTGCCAAAATTGTCTGATATTTATGACAATCAATTTCTCAGTCTATTTATTCTGAATTCTAAGATCAAACAAGTGTGTGTCTACTTTTAAATAAACACAAAGAGCATCTAGATATTTCAGCTAATTTCTTTAATAAGGAGACGCATATCATTACAAAATAACAGGTTGACAATAAAGACAGAAACAGTCCACATGAGGATAGGGAAGGGACCATTAAAAGCAGCTTCCTGCAGGCTTAGGGGAGTTGAATCACGTTGCACCTGAAGTAGGGAAGATAACTGGAGGTGAAGACTCCAGTAAATTTAGTCAGTTTGGGAAGCTTCTACATCACAGAGGAAATATGGCTGGAATGGGAAGGAGCTGAGGCCCCACCCTACACCTGAGTATCAGATGTCTGAAGCCTTTTGTAACCTAGCCTGTGGTGGGTCATCATGACCATCTCTTCATACAGCTGCTCTATTTGGAAGTTGGGGTGCCATCATCTCCCTCTGCAGTTATGCCTTTAATAGCAGCCTCAAATGCTATTAGGTGGTCAAATAATGATATGCTGATCTCTATTCATAAATATAGTGCTAAAGGCACAAAAGCACCTGGCACTTTCAAGCAGGTGGGAAAAATCCCAGTTAGCATGTATTTTTCTTCCTGAGCCATTTGCAACACTTCTGCACTGCTGCCATCACTGCTTAGATTTCTATAGTTCAAGTAGCATAAGAGGAGTAGGTCAGCAGTCCCTGATGACCAAATATATTGTCTTAATCAAAACTGCCTTGAGGATCTTCAGGAACTTTATTAATACTGCACCACTTTAAACACTAGCCTATTTCTCTCAAGAATGAGTCCTTGGTCCACTTATCCATAAACAACCAGTTATAAAATCACAGGAAGTAGAGGCCTCTTTGCCACACGCTTCTTAAGTACAGAAATAATTTTAGTTAAATTATGCTAGGTAGCCATTCTGAAAATTCTAGCTAAAAAGTGCTACCTTCGTCACTTAATTCTTGACCTGCTCACCAATCTTACCTCAATTTGAAGCTGTGCAATACATGATCATTTGCACCAAAGTGCAAAGTCCATGTACACAAAACATGGCTGCATCAATTATGTTTGTCTCTTAACCACTAAGAATTATGATTTTGCATCTTACTGAAAAAGGCAGCCACTATTTTAGGCAGAAAGACTGTGCAAGCTTTGAAAATAATTTATTTACAGTTCACTTTAATGAACTGATACCTTAAAGCAGTAGTATCTTTTTCTCAGTATTCCAACAAAGTCTTGAAAAAGAGGAGGCTGCTTAGTAAGAGAATTATTGCAGCAGTGGTGTGAGATCTGAAGCATTTCTTCCAAATAATTTTGAAAGCATGTGTTTTAGACTCTGTTGCCAGGCATAAAGTGACAAACAATCAAACTGCTAGTATTTGCCAAATAGCTCTATTTTTTTCAAGCTAAAAGGAAAGACCTCCAATGTCAGTTATTGCTACTCTATTTTGGAAAAGTGTCCAGCATTTAAATTTCCCCCAACGTGCCCAAGCAACCCCATGAGAAATTCAAATGGTGGTCAGCCTCCCAGGTATAGCTACTGCTATCCTAATAATTCTTGCCAAGAGGAACAGCCAAAATAGGCTATGGGCACTGATAGAGTTGCCACATGATCCAGTTCCCAAGTCTGCCACCAGAGCCCCTACACACAGGCTAAGAAAAGGCTTCACACTAATGCCATTCATAGCCTAACAAGGTCAGACCCCAGGCAGGGCCTCAGCCTCAAGCCAGCCTTATCACTCATCAGTGACCCAAGTGGATAACATAACAGTTGGACAGCAAGACAGACAAAGAAAGCAGGGACAGGGAAGCAGAGAGAGCAAGGATCACTTGTTAGCCAATCCCTGTTCAGGATCCTGGCAGCCTGTGATCTAATATGGCTTCTAAAATTTGCTTCAACAGTAGAGGCTTCAACACCACACAGAACATTGAAGCTGCAATGTTGTGGCTATCTGAACATAGTAAAAATGCCACCAGTTTTGCAAATATTAATTATACAAGACACTGATGAAACTTACTGCCATCTTGGTGTTATATCTTATCCCACCCCTCCCTGCTTTCACCGAGTATATATTTTAATGGATCAAGCATGCTTTGTTGCATTTTTTTTTTGTTTTAAAAAATTATTACTTTTTATTGAAAATAAATGTATGTTGTTACGACCATTCTCTCTGATTTTTGTTTTTTTTACAACCCCCTCTATTGCGTTAGGTAAAATAAATTCATTCACACCACATTTTAAAAATAATTCTGTAGCCTGGCTGTATTTCTAGAAAACGAGTGATAATCCACATATTGTACGAGTTCTGCTTTTGCATGCTTTTACTTAAATACTGTGCTAGTTGTCATGCATCATTTATAAGAAGGTTGTATTTATGTTAACATTAGATCTCTATAATCATTTTATACAGAAGTACACACAAATGATGGAATTTGAATGAGGCTTAGATGGCTTAATTGATTCGTTTTCTCAACCCTTTTATACAGAAAAGGAACTGAATAAAATATATTATACTGACTGTTAAACCATTTTAAACCATAGAAATAGAAGCTGTAATTCAATAAAAGGGTATGTTATCAGTACTAATATTTCCAGTATCCTGCTTTCATATAGGGCAGTCTGGATGGTTAGCAGAAGGAACCAAAGCAAGTTTGCATGATGAAGTTGCCATTTTGTCATATGAACCATTAAAAATGAAGATACTCAGATGTTTATTCTAAACTAGTGAGAGTACAGCAGCCTTCTTGCACCTCACAGTGATATCTTCTTCCCAATGTTCAGCTAGATTCAATCAAACTGGCTGGATATACCTTTTAACATGAATTGCTATGTGCATTATCAACTAGCCAAAACTATCAGAGCCATTGCTTTCAGCATTTTATTTTATTTTAATTTATTTTTTTGTCTTTCTTCTGGCAGTTTCTGTGTAGAACAATGCAGAAGTGTCAATCAAATGTGAAGTAGCAATGTGAGTAGAAGCACTATCCTGGGGTATAAGCACCAATGCAGTTAAACAGTTCAGGTAGCCATCTGTTTTGTTGTGTGAATGAAGGTGTGATTTATAATGGATACAGCTTATAAGTACAAACTATCAAGCCAGAAAGGGTTATTAAGTTTGAGGGCTCTATAAAAAGTGTTCATTTCAGGTCAAATCAGAGTTACATATCAACACATTTAAATGGCACATGTTTGCTAGCACTGGAATTAATACATCTGCCTTTAAATAATGACCTCTTGAAAAGCATCTAAGAAATGAATTAATGCCAGAATGATGAGGATGGGGATATTTTTGCAACTCAGAGCAAACATTACACTCATACAATGGAGGATGCAAAACTAGAACTGATCCCACATTCTGTAGCTGTGGATAGGATTCTGCAGTCCAACTGGTGATAAAAAGGAAAGACAAAAGGACTATTATTTCTGGAGACAATATTTTAGTTCAGTATTTCTTAAACTTGGCAACGTGTAAATGTGTGGACTTCCACTGCCAGAATTTTTTGAGTGGAAGTCCATGCATCTTCAAGTTACCAAGTTTGAGAACCACTGTTCTAATTGATCACAGCAAAAATAAGAATTTGTCTGTCAAACCCTATCCAAACTATAGGCATCTCTTAAGGGGCACTGCTTCCATCCCCCAGTCTCATACACAGCAGTTTTAAAGAGAAGATGGCTAATTTCAATTCTGCTTACCCTGAAAAGCAAAAAACCCAACAATAATATGATCAGCAAAATTTACCTTTCCTTCTTCCAGCTAACCTTAGATATGATATAACAATAATTCCCTCGATGGTTTATACTCCCACAAGGAAAGATACCTTACTTGCCAAACTTTTGCTTTTAGTGGAAAGAGAGATTCATTCTTTTCTCATTAGAACAGTCTCACCTTAGAGTAGTTCTCTTCTCAAGATCAGTGAAAATGCAGGTCTAAAATTTAAAAACCAAAACTCATGTTTGATTTCAGAACTCCGCTAGTATGCATTAATGATGTTTGAAATCTTATATCCTTGCCAGCTGGCAGTATTTAAAGCTAAGAGGCACAATAAAGGAGTTGGGAACAGGTTTCACTTACCCCTTTTCTTTGTAGAACACGCTTGTATCAAACATATTTGCACAGAAAAGTTCCATTAAGTCTAATTTTTCTGATTAAGCATATAAACAATTACATATGCTTATTCAGACCCTTATTCAGCGTTGAACAATTTCAATACTCCCTTTGTGTAGTTAGGGACAAAGCCCCAAGTGTAATAGCTCACCAATGCACCCAGTGAACCAAGGTAAAATTACAGCCATTTAGATGTAATTAAACAAGGAAGGGAATTTGGGGAGAGCATACAGGAAGTCGTCTCTCTTTGCTTGGATATACCAAGGCAGCTTATTTTGAAGCATTTAAGCAGGTGGCAATGTTTCTCCCTCCTCATCTGTATCAATCTGTCTATTCTTTGCATTAATTCTTATCTTTTGAAAGAAAGAGATCTCACACAGGAAACTCAAAAATCCTTCTGGCTTCACTTTCAGGCACGGGTTCTTAGTTTAATTTGTTTACATTTTAGGTACAAGTGGAACAAGCAGGCCTTTGATTACTTTGGTCCTTATTTGCAGTCTAAATGATGCAGCAATGATAAAGATGACCTTACTTTTAATTGGAAAGTTTTTTTATATATATTCTAACTTAAGAAACAAATTATTCTTTGAATATATAGCACTACTCAGTGAGGAACCAGAATGGAATGCTTTTTGTATTATCAAACTGCTTTTTGTTAGGCTCTTACAGGGAACAGAACTAGCACAAAGACAAAGCAACTAATACCCTTGAAGGCAATGCTGACAGATGGTTAAAGTTAGAATTTAGGACCAGATGCAAGACGAATAGGTACAGCCAGAAAAAACTGCTGAATACACAGGAACCTTAGATTTCCTGTTTCTCGCTTCTCTTAAAACTGTCTGATTTAAAAATCTGTTCCTATTGTATCTATACTTACACAACTGTAGTCAGATACAAGTCTGAGCTCTGCTCACTCAGCCTTTTAACTGGAAACCATTTTTTTACTTCTATCAACCCCAATCAGATATTCTCCAGTGACATTCCAGACAAAAGCAATTCAGTGGTCACCGATAGCAAAACTATTCTCTCAAACTTTTCCAGACTCAAGGCTTTGATATTTCAGCCTCTTTTCATTAACTCTAATTCAATATTAAACTCTAAAAAGAAGCTTTTATTTGAAAATCTTACTTCCTAGCCCCCATTTAACCTCCTTCCACTACCATCCGTCTGAAAAGGTATCTGTATCTGCCACTACATAAAAACGGGGGCAGGTTTTGGGGATTTTTTTTTAGAGATCAGTGCAAGCACTAGGTAACAAAGCTAATATGGCTTGACTTTCTGGGATTAGCAAAAAAAAATCATGAATGGTTTGGCAGCCAGACAAAAGGAGAAGGCCCTGCTGCTTTTGATATATCTTTGGTCTTTTGGTTGGAATGGATTCACTTTCCCACTAATTTCTGGCTTTGCTCCCTTAATTAAATGTGACTGGGGGTGGGTGGGGGGTGTCTCCAATTGATGGTACTTATTTTTTCTAAATTAAACTTCCTTAGGATACTTATTGCACTGTGCTGGCCACTAGATGGACCTTCCTGCTATTTCTAACCCATCAACTATCTAAAAGTACCTGCTCTTCAGCATTTGTAAAACACACAGTTCTCAGTCTCAAGCATTTTCTTCACATCCTTTAAGTTCCAAATTCATAAAAATAAACATTTTCCACCAATCAATCTGCAGCACTCAACAGATTTAGTCTATTGTGGTTTTAAAAGAAGAATGGCAGTAACAAGGCATGATAGCAAATGTTTGCAAATCAACCCAGGCCTATAATTTTTATCCGATTTACAAAGCTGCCTGAGACACTTGACATAGCTTTTTTCTGATGCCTCTAAGCTTGGCACTGCTACCAATAAGATGACTATCTTAGAAAGAGTGAAATTTTCACATAAATTGATAGCTTGTGAAGCCTAGAATAAATATCCTGTGATGTTTGGCTTTTTTTCCCCAAGAAAAAGAACGTTTTTGCACTCTGCCTTCCACAGTAGCATGCATTTGTAGATTTCATGTTTCAATGATCTTCTGGTACCACTCTATTGTTCTCATTAAGAACAAAACATTTGAAGGTTAACAGAAGACCCACTATATTAGATAGCTATTACAGGGCAATTATCATTTGGCAACTTGTGTGCCCCAAACCATAGTCCTCTCATTACAGAGAATTAATCCACCAGCCATCCACATCTTCGGAGATGTCCCAGTGCCAGTATTGCTTTTCCTGTATATTTCTGATAGCTGGCTCATGGCCAAACTCACTGAACACCATTTTGCAGGAGTGCCTTTTCATACACCTTGTTCTTTTTTTCCCCTCAAAAGCAAGCACAGTGTATCTCGTCATCTCACATTTTCAGGCTCTGGTATCATCCTGTAGCACAAGGTCTCATTTAAGGAGGAAACTCCCAAAACAAGCAAAAGCAAAGCTGTTTTGTGCTGTTATTTGTGGTGGTCTCAGGAAGACCCAAGTAAAAAGCTTGCTGTACACTTGAAGAGAATAACACAGAGAGATGGTGGAACATGCAGCAAACCAACTACTTGGAAGAATATGAAAAGAAGGGACCACCATGCTTTTAAACCACTTCCTCCTGGATACTCTTGAGTTCACCCGGATTCCCTTGCAGCCATCAAAGAAAGAATGTTGCAGCTTAGAAAAGAGAACAAAAACTAAATGTTGCCTAACTGAGGTATTGATAGCTCTGGATCACTTTGAATGTTCATTAGGTGATGTTGGAAAATGGAGCTGCCTATTTGTTTTTCCCAAGAGCTGCATCCACCTCTTCTTCAGGTTTCAAGGAGTGCCATTGGGCAATGGGGCGGCGAGGGTTGGCAAGCATGTCAGACCAGTGCCTGAGCTCGGTGCCTGAGGAATTGTTGCCAACAAAGACTTTTCCAATGGCTTCGTTCTTTCCCAACTTGTCATAATCCAGGACAGTAATTACAACTTGCACTTTCTGGAGAGAAGCAAGAAAACAGAGATCATTAGTAAGGCCAAATTAACAAAATAATAGAGTTGGAAGGGAACCCTGGAAGCCTTCTAGTCCAACCCCTTGCTCAAACAGGAGTTCCTACACCATTTCAGACAAATGATTGTCTAATCTCTTAAAAATCTCCAGTGATGGAGCACTTGCAACTTCTGGAGGTAAGCCATTCCACTGATTAATTGTTCTAACAATCAGGAAATTTCTCCTTCTCTCTAGGTTGCTTCTCTCCTCTCTAGGTTGCTTTTCATCCATTGCTTCTTGTCCTGCCTTCAGGAGCTTTAGAGAATAGACTGACCACCTGATTTTTGTGGCAGCCCTTTAGATATTGGAACACTGCTATCATGTCACCCCTATTCCTTTTCATTAAATTAGACATGCCCAATTCCTGCAAGCGTTCTTCATATGTTTTAGCCTTCAGTCCCCTAATCATCTTTATTGATCTTCTCTGCACTCTTTCTAGAGTCTCAACATCTTTTTTAGATAGACCAAAACTGGATGCAATATTCTAAATGTGGTCTTACCAAGGCAATATAGAGTGGTATTAACACTTCATGTGATCTTAATTCTATCCCTTTATTAATGCACCCTTGGACTGTGTTGGCTTTTTCGGCAGCTGCAGCACACTGCTGGCTACTAAGATCTATGAGATAATTCATGGGCAAAAAGGACTCTTGAAAATATATTTTAGTATTTTCTCAGTTGCAGCTGGTGCTAGAAAACATGTGTTTGTTCATCCAGATTTTTACATGAATTGATGCTGCTTTATTCCTGGATGCTGCTGTTGCTCTGGTTTTAATATTTTAAGCTGTTGGTTTAATGTTATCATTCAAATCACTTGCTCCGATTTTATTATTTTAATCTTAATTTGTACCCCACACTAGAGTTATGACTATAATAAAAAGTGAATAATACATGTTGTAGTACATTTACTAAATTAATAAAATTAAATATTTAGAGCATTCAGAAAATCTCCAATGAGAAGATTTAAATAGAAAAAATTCTTCATGTAAATATCATTACTGGCTGAAGCTAGGCATATGTTTCTCCAAAGAGAAAAGAAATACTATTTTCATGAGAAAGCTAGGTTCCGTTACATGATGATTTTCCAAGTTCAGATTTAAATCCAAGAGGAACCTCTACACATTGTGTGTGTGTGTGTGTGAGAGAGAGAGAGAGGGGGGGAAAGAGGGAGGGAAGGAGGGAAAGGGGGAGATGTATTGTAGGAATTGTTAATATGGTTGACAACATCAGCAAAGATGTTTGGCTGAGGGCTTCATTACCTAGCCAACTAATCAGCTTCCTTGCCTGCCTACCTGTCCTTTATAAAAACTTAAGCCTTCCCAATCTGAGTCCTCTGTATTTGGTAAGACTATTAATTCTCCAGATTCCCAACTAGCATGACCACAAACTTGGACGTAACCAAGTGGAAAACACTAAATTTTTAAATCAGAGATGCAATATACAGTTTCCCTTCCTTGGTCCCAGTGCAGTAGAGGCTTCAGAAAGATACATAAATTAAACTTATATCTTTACAATATTTATATCCTATTGAACTCCACAAAAGATCTGTCTGATACAACAGAATATTGTATAAGGGTCAGTGGGTTCATGTTCAACCCTCCCCCGCCCTCTGCTGAAAAGTTCGCTGTACAACCTTATTGCAAGTAAACGTTTATTAAAGGGGCATAAAAGGAGGAGAAGGAATTAGGAGAAAGGGAATCAAACACACATCCTCTAGATATGTCCTATTACACCATCTCCATCCAGCATGGCCAACTGTCTGGATGATGTCATGGCCATGATGATAAGTTACTCAAGATACTGGGGAGACACCAATTTTCCTTCCAAGGTTCAACCATCATTGATGGACAACTGCCTGTGTCAGATTACGGATCTGCCTCTTGTGCTTTGTGAAGCAGTGGGAGACAATGGAGAAATATGCCAACTCAAAAAATTTTTGGGAGCTCCCTGTATCATCCCACACCCTCAAATGAGAAACATGGGAACCTGTATCTGCTCAAAGGGAATCTCAAAGCTGAAAGATTCGTTGAAATAGGGGTTCAGGGTCTTCTTCTTGACTGTAGTCTTCTTCTTCTTAAGCCTTTTGCCATTCTGCAGCAGATGAATTTTCACATAAGGATCTGAAACATAAGACTATACAATCAAAACTAGATAAATACACAGACAAGCCACTCAAAACTATAGACAAAACCTGAAGAACAGGCTATCCAGAAATTAGATGTCAGATACAAAGTGAACGAAAGGACAATTTCCTGTTCCCCAAATATTTGAACCAGAGGTCACTCTATGAAACTGAATCCTTCAAGAATCAAAATAGAGAAAAGCTTTTTTTTTTTAACATATTTATTGGACTTTGGAATTTGCTACCACAAGATGTAATACTGGCTGCCAGCTTGGCTGACTTTCAAAAGGGTTGGACCAATTCATAGAAGTCATAGGTATTCATGGCTGTTAACCTTGATGGCAGAATGACTGCCTATGAAGCCTTCTGCTGGGACACTTGTTGTGTAGTTAGTTTGTTACTGTGAGAAAACATTACTGGAGTAGATGGATCAGAGTTTTGATCCAGGAGGGCACTGCTTCTGTTCTTATGTCTTCTGCAAGATTCTGATACAATGATATATTTTTCCATCAAGGCTTCAGTACATTTGCACTGTACAACTTGTTCTCTAGATTTCCAGAGAAGCCCTATTTACTTATTTGTTTATTTATTTAGCCTATTTACTGATGCTGTTACTTAGTTTGGGTAATGAAATGTCTGTACAAAAACAACCAAGAGAGTGGATTTTTGCCCTGTCTTGCCCCAGTTCCTTATTTTTTTCAGTTTTTTCCGTGCTTTAATCCAGGGTAGTGTTTTCTTTCTTTCCTACTTTGTCACAACTTTGCTTTATTTCTTTTCAAAACAATCTTTCTACTTAAAAGTCTTTTCCTTTTATCTTTCTTTGCATGAATACTGGAAAGCAGGAAAGAAATAATGTAAACTTTGTTAATGTGAATTTTTAAATCACAGAAGACAAAAGGTTCCATTGCTTCTTCCAAACCCATGATTGCAATATCCTCTAAGAATTCAGATAGTGAGTCACCAGACCACACACATAGTTAGCTTAAATATGTTTTTATTTTATATTTGGATAATTATTCAAGTTTGAGATCAGAAAAAAAAGTCATATAGCAGCTATCCGGATTCAGTATAAAGCAGCACTTTTCCTTATGTTATTTTTTAAAAATAAATGAAGAAAAACAGTCCATTTTCCTTACAGGTACAAAAGGGATTTCAGTGGTCAGAGATTAAGGCCATGTGATTCATAGAAAGACTATAGAGAACAGGGTGTTCAAGGACTGTCCAATGTACAGAAAAAAACTTTGAGTCACCATTCAATAGATTCAGGAAAAAAGAACCTCAGGTTTGTTCTTACATTCAGAACCAGCCTTTGTGTACTTAGTTGCCAAACATCTGAAGTGAGTTTTTCCTGCATATTTTATAATTTTAAACTATATTTTTGCTGAGAGCTACTTCTACTTGATTATGAGAGATCTGCCTTGCTGATGAAATAGTATCTTTGCATGTTCAAAAGGGAGAAAGTAATCTTACAACTCCATGTTTTATTCCTGAAATAGGAATGAGGACTATGAGAAGAGCTCATATCTGTCAGCCTTTAACAAGAAGCAATTTTCCAATACTTGAAGGACTGTCAACAAGGAAGAGGGTGTGGATGATGTTCAAGAGTAGAACAAGAACCAGTGGATAGATTATATAGGGAGTCCACATTTGAAATAATGAAGAATTTTTTTGACCACGATAGCTATTAAGAGGAGTAGAACAACTTGTTCCTGCCATTGTGGGCACTCTAGCACTGGAGGTTTGCAAGCAAATGTTGGACAACTATTTGTCTGAGATGGTATAAAGTTTCTTGCTCCAATGGAGGCATTGAACCAGAAGACCCATGAGTCTATGAGTAAAATGCATTCTATTGGGACTTCTGTTTTGTTTCAGAAGTTGTAGCAGGTTGACTGGTATTTTATGCTTTTTATATTAAGTATTTTAGATGGCATCTTATGATGCCTACGCAGAAACCTTTATACTGATTGCCAATTGCTTACCAAGCATGGTTTAATATATTTGTATTTATTTTAAAGTCATCAATGGATTAAAGTTTGATTATCTAAAAGACTATCTCCTTGCTATGAAAGTGTTGATTGTTAAGATTTGCAGGAAAATTCTTCTGAAAATATCTATCTGAGACCCATCTTTGTGGCATACTAATTTGATGCATTTGCAACAGGGGTGGGTTCTAAATTTTTTTACTACCGGTTCTGTGGGCATGGCTTATTTTGTGGGTGTGGCTTATTTTGTGGGTGTGGCTTGATGGTCATGTGACAATTATTTAGGATTTAGCAGAGGTACTGGTCTATCAGGCTGTACCGATCTACCCATTTATTTTTGCAGGCACTGGTCTACCCATTTATTTTTGCAGGCATTGATCTATTCATGTATTTTTGCAGGCACTGATCAACTCATGTATTTTTGCAGGCACTGGTCTACTCATGTATTTTTGCAGGCACCGGTCTACTCATTTGTTTTCTTTTAACACTGATCAGCTGTAGGGCGGCCCTTTGAAGCCCCGCGGCAAGAATTTAAACAGTTTTTTTCCCTCTAGCCATCAGCTGGGACTCAGGAGGCAGCAATAGATTGGGGGTGGGGCCAAATAAAAGGTAAGAATAACGCGGGAGGTGGGGGGGGCAGGAGGCCCAGAACCTGTTCGGTGACGTCATATCGTCACCGTTACCGGCTCGGCGGAACCGGGCAGAACCGGGAGGAACCCACCACTGATTTGCAAGCTATCAAATGTACATTTGGGGGGGGGGAGGTCACATTTGTTCTGTGCTCTCCCAGCTTTTAAAACATCTGACCAGAATGATTTTAAAAATAGATAATACTGTATATGTAACTAAGGGTTGGCATATTATACTGTTGGTGTTCTCCAAGCTTGGTTTTTGGCTTCCAGATTTTTCATTAACATATTAGTTAACTTTACTATTGTAAAAGTTTTGGAGAAATGAAGTTTATTGCTTGTCAGGGTTGTATATCCTTCTGTCTTACCTACTCTGAATGTGCTTGGATTCTTTCTCTTGTTGAGAAAATTACAATAAAGAACTGGAAGTGTAATTTAAAATACAAATGGACAAGAAGCTCCAGTGGTACTGCTACCTTCCCTTCCCATTCAGCCTTTTGCTCACATTCATTGTATACCTTGGAATCTAGCTGCTATTCATGAAGATTCTCTGGCAAGCATATGGGCTGATGACTGTTTTCACGTGAAAAATTAAAGAAGCTTTGAACTCAAAGATTTTGCAAAAGAAAGTAAGCATATTATCTAGTCTACAAAGATACACAGACAAACACTTATGGCAAATAGTATTTGAGGTTTCTGTATCTCTGCTGCTCTCTAATGGTCTTTTTGACTACAGAATGCTTGTAGGAGAACTATTAGTTTGTATTGACAGATATCTGAATAGCTCAGAGGTGTCATCTAGTGGGCATGTTGTTGATCTTCACTCACCAGAAAGTCCTCCAACATCCATCTTTTTCAAATTCTTGGCCTCCAGTATGCAGACAGTCAATTTCCCAGCAGTGGGTACATATCGTAATGAGATACAGATGTCTCCCAGTTTCTCTGGCTGTTGAGGAAAATTGAGAAAACAATGAACTCAAAGCTCTGACTGTGTCTCATGAATTATCTGTGCCTACGATAGGAAGAAATATAACTATCTTATTTGTAATGTGTTGTTTTTGGGCAGTTTCTATATGTGGGAGTCCAGCAGTCTACTGTTGATTCTGTTACTCTTCCTTTGGCTGGAAAAGTGAATCTCCCTGTGCCAGGTGCAAAGGATACATAGGATTACTTAGTTTCCCAGATGTGCTCTAGAAACAGATGGCTTTTTAGATATCATCATCGTTGCTTGTCCTTGATCACACTGACTGGGATAATGAGAGCTGTAGCACAAAATCTATTATATGAAGTTGTTAGTTTTGGAGGACAACTTCCCCTACAAAGTAGATAGCTATACGTGTAATGGTGCTGCATTTTAAATCCAAAGCCTTGTTCTACAAACAAGGCAATAAACCAGAACTGGGTTTTATGGTTGGGCCCATCACTTTCCTAACAGCTTAACAGAGAGATAAGATGCAGACTGGTTAGAGATCAAGCATGGTTCAACTGCGCAAGCATGGAGAGTTCTGACTAGCAGGGATTTTTGCTTCTAAATTTGGTTATCTGTAACTCTTTTCCCAAGACCACGAGACTATCACAAACTTTACCACTTCTAGGTTCTTTGTAGAGAAGGTTAAATACACATTTCACAACTGAAACTCAAACAGCAAGTGGAGAAAACACTTACCTCCTCTTTTTCTGCACTCTCTAGGTCCCTCCATTCTTCAATGGGTTGTCCTAAGTCCACAGTATTCATGGGTACCTTGACTTCCCCAATGATATCATGCTTAGAAAATCGGTCAAAGTCGTAGATGGCCATCACCAAAGTCTTCCCACCAAGCTCTTGGTATGGAATCTGTTACAACAAAATCAAGGAACTTTCTCAGTAATATAGCATTTCCATAGAACCGTAGTGGCCCAGTGATTAGAATACAGTACTGCAGGCTAACTTACTGCTCACTCCAGGAGTTCGATTCTAAATGGCTCAATGTTGACTCAGCCTTCCATCCTTCCAAGTCGGTAAAACAAGGACTCAGATTGTTGGGGGCAATAAAATGACTCTGTAAACCTTTTAGAGAGGGCTGTAAAGCACTATGAAGCAGTATATAAGTCTAAGTGCTATTGCTATTTCTACCATTTGAAAGGAAACATTGAGAAACCTTTTAGAAAGGTCTTGTGTAGCCATAATCTATATTGGGTGCCAAAAACTTGGATCTCCACTACATGACAACAAAGAAATAGAGAAGAGACTACTTCTTTTTCATCTAGTGATATAGGTGGCCTAATTACATGAAATTTGATTAATGCCCTTGCAAAAGAGGGGGAAAAAACCAATGAAAGCAATTTACAAATGCCTGGAGGATTACAAAGAGATCCAGGGTTTCTATATTGACATTCACATTCTGATTCTAGGATTAAAAATGGTCAACCACTTTTTGTACCAAGAAAAGAACAACTTTTCAAAAAGTAGAAGCAAGTGGCTTTGGCTCACTTGCTTTAATTTCGAGTATATTCACTATTATGAAATAATGGTGGACTGAAGTACTTATTCATTAGTTTTAGGTGGAAACTCCCTTTTAGAGTAGCATTCAAGAAGTAATCAATTTTTAAGATTTCAAGGACCTCACATTACCTTTCAAGATAAACTAGTACAGAGTTTTCTTTCTTTTTTTACTACTCTTTTTTTTGTACTAATATAAGCATCTAAAAGCCTTAGACAAATGACCAGATCTTTGTGTAGAAAGATCTTTGGCTTGACTTGATGCTTATTTTGCCTCAAATTATTTCTTATTTTGCTGTTGTTTTTAATTGGTTGTTTTAAATAATATATTGTCTTCAAAATATTTTGAATGTTAAAGGAGGAAAGCATTATGATTAAAATTCGATTACTAATTAAAAATAAAATTACTATTAGTATGTTGAGTAAATATGAGAATCAGTTTAATAAAATGGACTCCAAATTTGCAATGCAAGAGGAGAAAAATGTATAAACTACTTAATATCTGGATTTTTAAAATTCCATTTATTCTCCTAGTAATAAAAAAAAAAAGCCTTGTAGCTGTTAATGAATGGTCTGAAGACAGACATTCATATTAAGCTATAGAAAAAATGGATCTGTCCACTTTCTGTTTAGCAGAAAGTCATAAAAACATAATATTGCTTATATTATCACAGGCTTGGAGGACTGTATGAAACTTCAAAGGAGTATTTATTTCAATGAAGGTTCAGACATAATACATACTCAGAACTGTTTGATGAAGTAACAGAGGCATCCTTGCTTCTAAGACAAAGTGAAGCTCCTGGGTAACTATGATGTAGGCAGTCAGACAGGTCTTCTAGCCACAACGTCTTGGAGAAGTTCCTAGCTAGCATGTCTCACCCACATCACTAACTAGAGGAGAGCAGTATTTTTCAAAGGTAAAGGCTGAAGAGATTTCAGTGTTGACTTTGACAAATATTACATCCATATCTGTATTATGTCCATATTCAAAATGATTGACCTGCAGAATTTAAAGGCCACCTAAACCACTTTGTCAAGACAAATGGGTAGCATTTTTCCTTCAGTGAAGCAAATAAGATTGCTTCTTCAAAATGAACTGCATAAAATGCATACAACTAAAATTTTTAGATAACTAAACACAGCACTACTAACACATGTATTGGCTTACAGTAATGCATAAAATAAAACTTTTTAGAGAATTTAATCACAGTGCGACTAACGTGTATATTAGCATACAGTATATAATTGATAGCGCAATGCATAAAATTTATTCACAGTGCTACTAACATCTATTTCCTAAGACATAATTGCTAGAGTCACCTATTGTTTAGACAACTTTTCCAGTATCCTGGCAGTCTTGAGCCCTGTCAGCCATTTCAATTCTTACTATTAAAATTTCAGTCAGCCTTCTTACTCTTTTTCTCTATTATGTTTCAGTACTATTTCTCATTTACTGGTAGGCTATTATAGGAATACTGTTTTCTATTGTTTAATATGGTTTCAAGTATTAGTTTTGCTACCTTCAGCTTCAGCATTACCAGTCTTTTCCTTTTGAGTTCCATTTGGGATGAGGCTGGGTATTGATCACTGATGGATACAAATTATTTTGAAGGCAAAATACCTGGGCCAACATATCATGCAAAGAATATCCAGGTTAGAAATCTTACCTTAAAGACAAAAGTCTCATTATAGGTTGGATTGAGGGTCTTTTTTTGTACTTTAGTCTCATACTTCTTCTTTTTGTCTGGAAGTAGGAAGACTTTGACATAAGGATCAGATGTACCACCAATGTCCAATGCTGGCAGTTCAGCTGCTTGAAGGATTCCAACAGTGAGCTGTTGGGAAAGAAAGAAAGAAAAGGCTTGAAATTGCATGTTCCAATCAAAGTGGGAAACAATCTGATTTAGTCCTCCTATCTTTAACATACAACTCACTTATATTACTATCCGGTCCCTAATCCTCTTTTCTGTTATTGGAGGGAAGGGGATGGAGCTGTAAATGCTACATTGAACTTCATTTGAAGAAATGCATATGATTAATGATTAGGCACAAATAGAAAATTTATTCTAATATCTTATGATTTGTGCAAATTGCAGTTTAGAAATATTCAGGTAAGCCATTCACCTGCTCTATCAAAAATTCCTATGAATTTGCCTTCTAGATAGAGAAATTTCATCAAGTATTTTTTTCATGATATTATGATCACAGCACTATCAAAAGTGTATATACTCAGTCCTTAAAAAGAAAAAAAATAGAATTTGAAATAGAATAAAAACAATAAATTAAACATTGTGGTAATCTGATGCTTACATTCAGCACTGAGCTATTGTTTATCTGCTAAGACAACAAGATGTAGAACCTTAATAACACTTTATGTATCCTGAATATTTCTCACAGGTAACTGCATAAAAGTTGTCAGCACACTCCAGGAGTTTACCTAATAGGGAACTCTAAAAACGGACTTACGATTCTTGTAATGAAAACATTATATAAAGATATGGCTAAAGTGTCTATATCATCAAATCCAAAGGGGCAGATATACTATGTTCCCCTATACCTATATTCGTACATCCTGGTATATTTTGAAAATCCTCTTCCACTACTGCTGTTGGCAACATGTCAGAATCCCAAGGAGCATGTTGTTAATTTCTGTGACAGAAGCCCATATTTTTAAAATACAACAATCAATCAGTTTGCCCCATATTATTCTGTTGGTCTATATTCAGAAACTGTGCTCTCATGCAAGATAAGTCAATGAAGAGTTTATAATAAAGTCCAAAGTTCTTACAGGTACCTCATACCATCTGCCATAGACCTTGAACATCTACCAACAAGCCAAAAAATCTCTGCAGAAGTGCCATTTCCCAAATGGGGATCTGCAGATGTGCAATGATCAAAAAGCCTGAAGAAATCAGAAGAGCTGAGGCAACTACATCCAATTTGGTAATTGCTACTCTGAAACCATCTTGGCTTCCAGTACTCAAAGAAAGAACTTATAGCTTAATGCTTTAAATCAAGATCTCTGTCCACCACTCTTCTCTGGGTTTCCATACTCCTTCACGCCATCAGGCTGACTCCTGCATTACTAGTGCTATTTTCAGGCTGGTCTAGAGCTACCCAAGGCCTGACAGCAATTCCAAATCTATTTTTCTTAAGAATTTCTAAACTTCAGTTCTCATTATCACTCTCAGTGGAGGAAGTTAGAATGAAATTTCTCTTATTTACATTCATTAATGTGTATACGTTACCTGGTTAGCCTGGAAATCATAATCTAGGGAGAACTGCAGTTTGCCCAGATTCTCTGGTTCTTTTTCCTCTTCCTCTTCTCCTTCCTCATCACCATCTCCATCATCATCATCATCATCCTGTTTGTTCTAGAAAAGAAATAGAAGCACATGTTTCCACAAAGAGTGACTATACATCAAGAGCCTTGTTTCACATACAGGCATACAGGCACACACGCACATATGCAATATCTTATGTTAGTACAGAAACTCAGATTTACCATAGGAATAGGAGCATGGATTTCCAGGTCAAATGAAAAGAGGAGGGGGAACTGAGTTTCTTCATAATTTTAATTAAGAAAACTAACATGCAGCTTTTTTATTCCTCTCATACACATCTCCAATGCGCAGAGAATCTATCTCTTCTTTGTTGATAGATTTAGTGAAGGATACAGCTTGAATACTTCAATAATTTTTTTTTAAAAGAAGGCAAACATTATTTTATATATAATTGACACTTAAATTCTTATCTAATCAACAGTTATGAATTCTACAATTTTTCAGGGAAAGCAATGCAACAGTGGTATTAGTGTAATTCTGCTTTCTCCTGTCTAGCAGCTACTAAATATTTTAGTGGGCAATTTTCTGGATTCCTCAGCCAACATGGTTAAATGTATCTATATCATGGAAGAAGTCAGGCTTGTGTAACGGCTACTGTATGCTAGCAAATGGCATCAATCTCCAATGAAAAATCTATGGGAAATGGAGTAGCCAAGGCAGACAAAGCATCTTAAATATGCACTGTCCATAAAGAAATTCATTGAAGGGATTGCCAAATAAATGGAAATCTTAAATAACCCCAATGATTTCTTTCTCACTTAACTTTAAAAAAAGATTCAAACACTCATACGTGCAGATGCATGCAGATTATCCAAGGCATACATTCGTTATTCTTTCTCAGACTTCTAAATTACATTTTATTAAATTTGGCTAAATGAGCACTAATGTCTGTTTTCAATACAGTAGTGTTTCCAGAACATCTCACAAGCATGTACAAGCCAATAATGCTGGACAACTCTTTCAGCATTTTACTTGTCATACCTAGACCTTCATAGTGTCACTGAGAAGCCTTTTTGATGCTTCCTCCATGAACTCAACTCATGCAGAGCTTTGATGAGATATACAGGTAACGCAATAAAATATTTTGTCTATTTCAGTTAGAGAACCTTGTATTTGGATTGAACCTCATTCTGATTAACTAATTATAAAGTTTCCTAACCAGAAATTAAAGATTTTTTAAAAAAATCTTTCTCAGTTAAAGTATAACATAAAGTTTAACTCTATTGTTTACACGAAGTCTAACTATGGAATGTAGGCTCACTGTGGACTAATTCCCATGAACCCTCTTCCCTTGTCCCTTTTGTGCCTCAAAGGGAATTGACATTTGAATAGGACCTACCGTGTGTTGACATCCAGGTTAGTCAGAAAAGATGGAGACAGAACAACACAGAACGATAACAAAGAGAGCACAGAGAAGGAAGAGAAGGGCATTATAGACACAAAAACTTTACAAATTATCAACATCACAAGTGCTCCTGAGAAACTGCAGATTCCACACCTTCCAAGGTGCACTATAAAAAGGATGGGTGCCCCAGACAGAGTAAGCGAACAAAATATTAAATTCTAATATTTTCTAATTTCCCAAAGAAACTGGATGAAAACAGAGCTCCCACTTCCATTGCAAAACTATATACCCGTAAAAGCAAGTGTAAAGCCCTCAACAAGGAGCATGATATACATACATAAGTAGATCTCCATTATGCTTTTGCTTCAAAACTGAAGTGGCCTTTTTGGGGAGATTATTTTCAAAAAGTTTATTTATCAAAGTATGTTGTTTTGGCTTAAGGCACATCACTATTTTTTTTTTTTTTTGCATTCAGTTTCATTTAATCCAATCAAAGAAACAAAAGTTAGCATTTTATATCAGCCAATTTCATCTTCCATATTTAATGGTAAATAGCACTAAAAAAGAAAACTGAAGGTAATTAGTAGACCTGTGTTTCTCTGGAAACAAAAAGAAAAAAAAGAAAAAAGCACAGAAATACATAAGGGAACAGAGAGAAAGAGACAGAGAAAACACAGCCAATTAGTAACTCAAGGATGACCTCTTCTGTGACTAGAAAGACCCTTTATGAAGAACAAGAATGAAAAATAAACTGCAAAGGAAAGACACACAGCTGTTACAATGATCTCGCTAAGAGAGATGCTACACTTCCAGAGGTTAGAGGGGAGAAAAGCTCTCTTTCTGCTCTCTTTTGCTATTGGCAGTCTTCCTTGACAGAAATTGGAGCAAAATAGTCACGGAAATTAGCCAAGGAAAGCTTTTGTTCTCCTTACAGTTTGTCACTTCTTCCATTTGTGCATGGATGGGCTGTCGGACCAGGAGACATCTGGGGAAATCATATACTGTACCAAAATCTGTTCTTACTATGACTGGAGTGCCTGATTGAAAATGCTTCTATAATTTAGTTGCCTTTTAGTAGTCATCCTGACCATGGTTCCTGTTTGCTTAAAAAATATGTCTGAGGGTTATAAATCTTAAACCCTGATGCATCTAGATATCCCACACTAATAACCACAACTATTTTCTATCTGAAATATTGGATGTTGAAATCAATATGAATAACGCAGTAATGAAAAGAACTGGAAAGCCTAATTTAATGGAATTTAGTATTATTTCATAAATTGTAGATTGCATAAATGTTGTCTGTTTTAATTTGGAATATGCTCAGTTCATAGAGATAGAGGTCATGGACATGAAAGCCTTCAGTCCTTTGACTTTTAATGGGAAAAATTGTAAACAAAGCAACCAGATGGTTTCTGTTCTTAGGAAACTGAATTAAATCCAATTCAGTCATGCGCTGTCTTCTGTGTTTGACAGCTTGCCAGTGTCTCAGGCACTGTAAATACCCGAAGTCAAAACTGGGTCCACAACATGTAAAGAATCCAGTGGTGGACTGGATCATATCAGTTCATTAGTAATTGGAGATGTGATTCATAACACTAACTTTTCATACATCTTCTGGGGCCTTCTGCAATTCTTCAGGGAATTTACAAGTACCTATTCTTGTATGCCTGTAAAAACATACATCCACAATATGATTAGGCCAGAGAAAAGGATTCAGGTTATTGGGATCTGCAAATATCTGAAAACTGTCATGGAAAAAATGGAGCAGACTTGCTCTTTATTGCTCTAGAGAGCAGGACTAAAAATAGCAGTTGGAAACAGTACAGGAAATATTTTCCAGCATAAGAAAATGGCATTGGCAAATGGTAGACTCTGCCAAGGAAGCTGCAACTGTATTTTTTATTGCAGACATGTACTGTATTGAGCAGTAGGCTTGATTAGATGATCTCTAATATATCTTTCAAGTCTGTGATCCTAAATCAAGAATGATGAATAAATGACTTCCTGCTCTCATCAACCCTAAACTCAATCTTAAATTACATGATCAGTGCTCAATGGTGAGACAGGATGGGAATTAGTGTTCATTTGCAGTTATATATCTCTTTATTAAAATGAAGTTAGTATTTTATTTTATTTTATGGTTTGGTAAGAAAACGAATTCATACCTCAATGCTGAGGAAACCCTTTGTAGAGGGAGTCCAGCTCAAAACTGGTTACAACAGGGCAATTTAAATGATGAAAAAGGCTGGAGTTGTGCATTCTTAGAGTATGTCATGGAAAATATATTTATTGATTAGATTTATATGCTGCCCATCTCACAGTCAAGCAGTCTGATTACTGCCTGATTAATGTAGATTGAGTGATGGATCAGAAAATGTTTCTCCACATTAGTAAAGCAAAGTATCCCAATATGAAAGAAGAAGCCATCACCATTCATAGCCTGATGTTTGTCAAGATTAATTGCTAATGTGATTTGCTGCTGAGCTAGTTTGATTTATGCTTACAAAACAGGTATTATAACCCTGAACAATAAAATAATGGAATTACTGAGATGGTAGCTTCAAATGGGATACTACATAAGAATTTTTTATGAGCTGAGATTTATAGAATGGTTCTTGACAAATTGCTTCCTCAGACCATCCTTGCACAAATCCTCTTGTGCTTTTTGTGAGTGATAATTTTCCATCTGTGTTATCTCAACAGGCTAAAATGGAATCATAGCTCTAATGGGGAAAAGGGTGTAGGTTATAAATAAGATTAACAGAAGGGCCTATCAAACTCATCTCGGTATTGGGGATACATTAATAACAATCTCCCCCATCTCTTTGCTTTATATGTAAAGATTAGCCATATCTTTGCTTTATATGTAAATATTAGGCAGGATTCTATAAGCTATATGCCCAAACCATACTGGTTAGACATCAAATCACTGTGGTCTCCAATAGGAAGGGATAAAAAGAATACTTGACTGTTTCTATTTTCCTATTTTTACTTTGCTATGTTTAGAAAGCTGGAAGATATAGCCAAGAATCTATCCAGAAAATACATACCATCCACATAATAGTATGTTTGTATGGAACCAAATATTGAATAACTCTTTTCAGGCATTCTTAAATCTGAAGCACTCTCAGGTAAGACTCCAAGATAAGCTCTGTTGCTGCCAATGTCATACAAATAATAAGTTTACTTTTATTGCACATTGAGAAAAAATATGCCACAAAATACCTTAGCATTTTCAACTGTTTCTGCCACTGGCTTGAGCCAGGCAGGGTCTTTATTCACATGGATGCAAAGACCCACAGATTGCATGCACAATTGTTTTTCTCTTCCAGCCAATCATGCTTAATAGGCAATTATCTACAAAAGTGTAGAGAGTTCTGGAATTCTGAATGCCTGAATATAGCTAATGTTGGATGTGCTTCTGAAAACTGATATTTTCTAAATTTATTATATTTATAATTTCCTAACACAGTGTTACAGTATGATGTGCCTAATTATGCTATCTTTTTCTTTGGTCCCTTTGAGTCAATGTTGACTCTTAAAGATTGCCTGGTCAAGTCTCTGCACTTTTTTTGGCAAGAATTTCAGAAGTAGTTTGTCATTACCTCCTTCCTAGGGCTGAGACAAAGCGACTGGCCCAAGATCACCCAGCTAGCTTTGTGCCTAAGGTGGGACTTTATCTCCCAGTTTCTAGCCTGGTGCCTTAACCAAACTGGTTCTCTAATTATATTGTTATAACCATTCCAATTTCAGCAGAAAGAAAGCTCAGACTATCTCTGTTTCCTGGATTTCTTTAGGGCAGCTTTCCCCACATGGCTCTGTTGAGTGGTGTTGAATTATGAGAATTCCCAGTCACTCTCTGGTAAAAACCAGTGGTGGGTTTCAAAAATTTTTACTACCATTTCTGTGGGTGTGGCTTGGTGGGCGTGGCATGGCATGGCATTGCATGGCTTGGTGGGTGTGGCAGGGGAAGGATACCATTCCAGAGGTGGGTTTCAGTAGGTTCTGACCAGTTCTGGAGGGAGAACCGGTAGTGGAAATTTTGAGTAGTTCAGAGAACTAGTAGTAAAATTCTGACTGGCCCCGCCCTCATCTATTCTCTGTCTCCCAAATCCCAGCTGATCAGGAGGAAATGGAGATTTTACAGTATCCTTCCCCTGCCACACCCACCGAGCCATGCCATGCCCACCAAGCCACATCCACAGAACTGGTAGTAGAAATTTTTGAAACCCACCATTGTACCATTCCCACCCCACTCCAGGGGAAGGATACTGTAAAATATCCATTTCCTCCCCACTCCAGGGGAAGGTTACTGCAAAATCCCCATTTCCTCCCAATCAGCTGGAACTCGGGAGGCAGAGAATAGATGGGGGTGGGGCCAGTCAGAGGTGGTATTTACCGGTTCTCCAAACTACTCAAAATTTCCGCTACCAGTTCTCCAGAACTGGTCAGAACCTGCTGAAACCCACCTCTGGTGAAAGCATCACCACATTTTCCACAGAGTATTCAGTAGTCAGAATGATGATGCTTTTCTTGATATGGACACTCTGCTCTCTCCTTATTAAAGATTGCTGCCAAATGAAAACCTACTTTCAGAAGAGTTTCTGTTGGTACATCTTTTGTCTACATTGATACTTAATGCTGACTTGATTCCTTGGGGTATCAGACTAGAGTTGTCCAACTTTCCCAGTTCAACCGCCACCTCAGCTTTGCCTGAAATGTTAAGGGGGACTCATGGGCAGTTGAGGAACCAAATCACAAATAGGCAGAAAGCTCAATTGTGAATAGCCTCAAGATCACAGTGCTTGATACTGCAAGCACAAAAGAATCTTATTTATTTTATTTTATTTTATTTTATTTCTATACCGCCCTTCTCCTGCGGGACTCAGGGCGGTGTACAGCCGAGATAAAACATTGCATATAAAATTTAAAAACAGTTTAAAAAACAATTAAATAATTTCGGCCCAAGATTTAAAACAACCCAATTAAAACCGAATTCAATTAAAACTGAGAGAATGGGATCAAGCCAGCCCAGCTAGATGGAATAGGTGTGTTTTCAGGGCCCGACGAAAAGTCCGGAGGTCTGAAATCATACGTATCTCAGGGGATAGGTCATTCCAGAGGGCAGGTGCTGCCACAGAGGAGGCTCTCCCCCAGGGGGTTGCCAGCCGGCACTGTCTGGCCGACGGCACCCTGAGGAGGCCCTCTCTGTGCAAGAGAACCGGTCGGTGGGAGGCTATTGGCGGCAGAAGGCAGTCTCGCAGATACCCCGGCCCTAAGCCATGGAGCGCTTAAAATACTTAAAATACTATTATTTGTTTGTGTGATAAATCTATATTCTATATTTCCTCTAATACCTAGAGAAATTGTATATGGCATTCCTAGGTTACATAGAAAAGTTATTTTTGCTTAGCAGGAACTGAGTTCTTTGTTATGCTTTCTCACATACTAAGAAGTATAATGTTTTTTGAAATTCTGAGGCAAAAGAAAAAACAAACACCCTTGGTTAATTTAGGAAAAACTTAAAATATATGCAAAAAAAGATTAAAAGCCACTTCATTGCTTCTAAAATTTATAAATTGGTTACTTGTAAAAATGTTTGAAAAATATGTATACTTTATACTAATTCTGTGTTATATTTAAGACTTGTATATCACTTACTGTATTTTGGGATTCAGATAGTTAATACATTTTATAAATTTATAAATAAATAATACATAAAGAAATCTTTGATATATACAATAGAGAACTGTACTGTAGGTTTCTGACAATAAATATTTTTAAATATTTTTTACAAATGGAATTAGAAGCTCCTAGTTTCTATGGAAGGAAATGTATCCTTATTTTTGCCTTTATAGGAGAAACTGACTGCCAAAATTACAACAACATAAATGTTTGTGCTAAAATAAAATAATAAAAATTAAATGCAATACTGTAGCAAAGCCATACTAAAATTAACCTATGGTACTGTAGTAAAATAACATTATAGTACAGTAAAATAAAGTGATTTCTATTGTATCAAATACAGAAAGCAAGCAATTGTTTTATGAAAAAAAGCTCAGAAAAAAAAGAGGGAGCAAAGGTTAGAATATGCATTTTGTCACCTGAAACAGTGACTATTTTCTATCAGTCTCATTTTCTGAGTTCCTCAACTTGAAATAGTATCATGATCTTCTACCTCTTTTGATTTTTTTTAAAGAGTAATCAAGTAATCATAGTTTTGAGACAAACGTTTCTATCCTTCCTGTTCTAATGTATTTCTTGGTTTGGTATATTTTCTAAAACAGAGCAATTTGTTTGTTTGTTTGCTCTCTTGTATTTATAGCCACTCTAGATAAGCCCACCAGAAACATGAGCACCTGTTCCCTCATAACTTAAATAACTGCAGTTTCCCAACTGGTCTTCATCCAATGATATATTTTCACCTGGCCTTTCATATCTTTCATGTTCATAGCATTTTTCATCCCCTTTTTGTCCTTCTTGTTCTTCTTCTTCTTGCAACAGCATTTCTTGCAGATGCAAAAGCAGCAGGTCAGCAGTAACAATCCAGCAACGACAGCAATGGCAACCAGGGCCCATGGTGGCACTGTGAAAATATAGGCAGAATATGGGGAAAGGGGTAGCAGGAAGTGCTAGAGGTTTACATCACATGCACAGCCCGCAGATGTCATTTCTAAGGCTGTGCACATCCTTTTAAGGAAAAGTTTACAAGCCACACCCCGGGTGGATATCCAAGCCATTTCTACCCATGGCTGTGACTTCAAATGCAAGGAGAGGTGGCAGAGGAAGAATCTGAAGCAACTTCTCTGAGCCTTCCAGAGGATGCAGCTGCCTCAAGTACCTGGGACAGGCTCTTTGCAGAGTGCTACTTCTCCTCACGTTTTGCATTTCTTTTTTATGTTTATGTTATGTTTATGTATTCAGGATCACCTACACAACTTAGATCAAAACATTACAAGCAACTATTGAAAACACATTTAAAGAAGCAAATATACAATACAATAGCCAAGTAAATTGGGGTTGTTATTTATGTGCAGAATCAATCTTTGCTAAAACTTACAAGCTATCATCATTGCTGCAAAACTAAAGACAGTGAGGTTGGGAAGAGATTCCATAAATTAGGTAATTGTGTCCCACTCAGAACATTTCTGAAAGTCGCCACTCAAATGGCTGATCCTTTGGATAATCTATTTCCAATGCAGAATCTTTTCCCAATGTAGAAAATTTCTTCCCCTCTTTGATTTTCTATAAACAGAGTCATCCCTCCAGGTGACTTGTTAATTTACTCAGTATGTTTGCAACAAATTACTCTACATTACCTCACTTTGAAATTACCATTAGATTAACATAGTCTTCTAGTAAGTCCTTTCTCATTTTTTTTTTTCTGTCTCTTTTCATTAAAATGAAAAAAAATATTTCAGGTCACCTTCTACTTTTCTCAAGAAACGTCCTTAAGTAATTTGGTCTCTTTAATCAAATAAATAATTATATTTCTTGCAATTGATAATAAAAGGAGAAGGAGGGTAGCTGGGCATCTAACCTTTGCATTATACAGATATGCAAAATGTTAGAAAAGGCAAGGATGGAACAATTAGACCCGAAACTATGTTGACACTAGATACATCCAAAATAAGAACATGTTACTTACAAGGTATCCTATTTATTTCATTCATAAACTTTTCTTTTAACTTTGCAAAAGTGTCTTCCGAACTCTCCACTGGGCCTGAGATCTGCGTTGCATTTTCCTGGGAGACTGCTGGTGCTCCTATAGTAGTGGTAGGATGTACTGGAGCACCTGTAGTAACAGCTATGATGGGTTCAGGTTTGGGATGTTTTTTGAAGAGGTTCCAAGTCATCTTGACTGCTATTTAGGCACCCTGAAAACCAAAGAGACATTACATAATTCAGCCCAGACCTTCCCTAGAATATTTCATTTAGTACTGACAGTAACGTTATGCATAATATACAAGGATTAATATTTTGCTTTTCCAAGTAATTTACATACCTGGGGTTATTTATATTTATATTTGCACTGGTATCTCAGAATAGCTCATAAAGGACAATTTGTTTCTTCCTTAGATTAAAAAAGTGGAATGACAAAGAAGACCACATATGATCTTTGCATTGCTATTTCATCAGAAATGCCTCTCATTGAGGAAAATGAAGCAAAGCTACGTATTTGTGGCAAATGTATGCGAACCTCTAGAATTATCAATTCATTTGAAGGAGACTTTAGAGTCAGGTGTTTCAATCAAGGATGATAATCAGGTACAAGTGTGGGAGATCCTGCCTTATTCAAAGAACAGAATTCTGGTCATTCATTATTAAAGTCTGATTTTTACCACATAGGTATGTGCAAGTGTGTCATGGCTTGAACAAAGGAGATTTCTGAAAACCTCCAAAAAGCTGTTGGTGATGCTCATCAGATTGAAGGGTTACAAAACTATATCCAAAGAGTTTAGACTCCACCAGTATACCATCAGGCAGATCATGTACAAAGGGAGTCAATTCAGCATCATTATTAACCTCTTCAGGAATGGTTGACCAACTAAGATCACATCAACTACAAGGTGTGTAATATTCCAAGCGGTCTCAAAGAACCCCAGGACAAAGTCTAAGGAACTAAAGGCCTCTTTTGCATTGGCAAAAGTTTTCATGTGACCATCATGAAAACACTGAACAACAATGATGCATATGGCAGAACTGCAAGGAGAAAACAACCACTCTTCAAAAAGAACATTACTGCCTGTCTACAGTTTGAGAAATATGTAGCTTTGGATAATTTTCCTCAATAAATCAACATACAAATATTATGTTTTGATTCATTTGTTTCTTGAGTTACTTGACTGTAGTAGAATTGTGCCATATGGGTTTGGAACATATGAAGCAGGAGGTAGGAACAAAGAGTGCATAAAAGGCATGAAATTCTCTTCAGCCAAAGCTTACCAACCTGCAAGCAATCCTCCTGTGACAATACCTTCTCAATTCAAAACTCAAAAATGATATCATACTTATGTCTGGAATGCTAAAATTGGAAAGAAAATAGCATCTGAAATAATGAGAAAATTAAGGCTTGATGTGCAAAATTAAGCAGGTGACAGAGTTCTGGTAGGATAATTTGATATTAATATCAGTACTTTTTCCCAACATCCTAAAGAACAGATCTAACACATGGACACTGTCATGGAAACAATATCAACTTCAAATTGATTGTAAATATTTTTCAAGTAAAGTTAAGAATTCTACTCAGTCAACAAAAGCAAAGCCTGGTGCTAACAGCAGCTTAGATCATGACATTCTTGCAAGAAATTCCAACTTAGATTAAGAAAAACATTAAGAAAAGCTAACAATCTCCACAATATTCCATGTATTATTCCAATATTCCAAATATGCAGTGAATTAAAGATAAATAGTAAACAAAAACAAAAACTAGACAGCATGTGCCTGGTTAGGTCATTTGAGAGATATTTCCTTACCTAAAGAGAGAAACAGAATGACCACAGGCAGGCAAAAAAGCAATAAGAGTGTGAGCGACTTCCAACTTCCTACTGGCTTCCCCATTGAGTTTCCTTGTGGGAAGTTGGCAGTAGAAACGTTTACCAGAGGAGCATTTCAGCATTTCAGAGTTCATTGTTTTTAGTTTTTATGCATGGGGGGTAGAGAGAGATATATATGACTTTTCTGTGATGTCCAATTGGACATCACAGAAAAGTCATATATATCTTTCTCTACCACATATAAGTTATACTTGAGCAGAGTGGAGGGAAATTTAACGTGGACTATAAAGTGAAAAATGAGGAACTCGCTACTATCAAGGTCCTGTGTCTCCATATCCAAAAGTGGTTTTCATTGCTGTAAGGCAGCACCCCCTCCCCCAACCTTTTGGACACCAGGGACCAGTTCCATGGAAAAAGTTTTTTCCGCCAACTAGAGGGATTGTGATTTTGCGTGCTGCCTGCATCCCGCAGAGACAGCTTCACTTGTTTGCATGGCCCAGATTCTGGCATGCTGTGGTCCAGGGCCAGTCCACGGGTTGGGAATCCCTACTTTAAGGGATGCACATACTCACATATACTCAGTTATTTTATAAGAATTACCATATTTTCTGGAGTATAAGACGCACTGGAATATAAGACACAGCTTAGTTTTTGGGGAGGAAAATAGGAAAAAAAAATCTGCCTACCAGTATTCATCTGGCTAGCGTCCTTAGTCTGGTCAGCTTCAGCACATTAGTTTGCTGGTTTTTTTATCCCCTTCTTGGGGATAAAGAAACGGCTTCTAAGGCACAGCTGAGAGGAAGCAGCAATGAGAAAAGCAGGCAAAGCATGGGGAGGGGGGGGAGATCGCTTCACTCAGCTAGCGCCTAGTTAGGGCTGAAAAAAGCTTCCAAAGAACAGCTGAGAGTTGGAGCAAAGCATGGAGATTGCTTCACTGGCTAGCGCCTCATTCAAGCACAGCGGAGAGTCGGAGCAGGCAAAACTGGGAAGATTGCTCGCTAGTGCCTCATTAACTCGTTAGGGCTGAAAAAAAGCTTCGCAAAAGCTACATTTGGAGTATAAGACACACCCAAATTTTCAGCCTCTTTTAGGGAGGGAAAAGGTGCGTTTTACACTCCGAAAAATATGATAGATTTCATCTTGCTGTTCTTTGGTAGGTTTCAAAATTTCAACCCTACCTCAATCCCAATTCCATCCTTTCCCACAACATAGTTTTCCATTCATTCACATAGGATTCCTACATATTTATGACACCAAATAAGATATAACAAATGCCTCTTTTCTGGTTTTGTTCTTTTGCATCTCCAAGTGATTAATATCAGGGTTAACTGAGCAATAAATAATGTCCAACAAGTAATGTGTATAAACATTTCCTTCCTTTTGTAATCATTTAATAGAGAAAAAGTCAAGAGAATGAGGGCATGTTGGTGGAAAAGTGGAGGGCAAATGCCAACCTGCCAGTGGAATGGCTAATGAATCCACTATTTCGTGAATGAATCCTGCTTCTTTCGTATTGTAACCTCATTTCAAATGTCTGTGGATGGGAGGCTTAGCTCTGAGGATGGTTCTTAGCTCTATAAAGAAAATGTAAGGAAAGCAATTGAGTCGCTATCCATCAACTGCTTTATGCTGATCAAAATAAACATTGGCTAGGAGAGATTATTCACAGCTTGTAGACTCTGGTAGGAGATACAGTATCCATAAGCAGAGCGCTATTTTGTATACTTGAATTACACAGCTGGAGAATAAAGGCAGAGTACAAAAAGTTCAAGGCCAAACTCTGTATGTTTGCAATATTAAACTAAATTTTGTGACATAGTCAGGCATGCTGTTAAAATGTAATTTATCAATTCAATACTTTTTCTTTGTGTTTTCTACTGACATAACTATTCCCATTCTTGTTGCAAGACAGGGCAAAATAGGAAACAAAGCAATGCAGAATCTGCAGAGTAGAGAGAATTGGATGCTGTTCTAAATTACTGTCTTCAGGGGAACACATTGAATTGTTTTAGTTTCTAGAAAAGCAAAATCTCACGTTACATTTCTTCATGCATTTGAAAATGCAAATAATGAGAGAAAAACATAGGGAATTCTGTATAAATGCTCCAAATATAACCTTTTTTCAGGTTACTGAAAAAAAAATTGCGAAGTATCTTGATAGAATATATGGAAAATACTTTCACGGTGTTGCAGAATTTTCCCTACCCTTTTAATGCCCCCCCAATCCTTGAATATGTAATTGCTATCCTAGCATCAATATTACATGAGATGATAAAGAATCAGCTATTTTCAGAAATTAGGTTGTGTAATGGAATGAGTAGATGACCTTGGAGAACGAGGGGAAGACATGCTGCCTAGGAAACTATTAGACAAGAGAGAGCAGGAGCCCCCAAGTCGCCTAATGGTCAGTAACAGAATCTAGCAAATCTGAAAGCACAAACTTCTCACTGTCACTTTTAACTGCTTCATCCATTAGGGCAGAGTCTTCCTACATTTATTTCTCTGATTGTTAAGCTGCTGAGTGCTCCTGCCTCTCTTGTTTGAGAGGTTCAGACCATAATTCTCTCAGTCACAGTCCCTCCATGGTGATATTCATCCTCAAGGTTCAGTCACTTTTAAACATTATTTGAAAAACAAAGATCTATATGGCATGACTGGGTTATACTGTAGGTTTGCCTAATAAGCTAACTTTGCCCATAACCTATGGAGCATCTGGTGCAAATAAAGGTTCAATTTCAGGTTATATACTACTACTTGAGAAGACCCATTTTCTTTTCCCAGGATTTCTCTTTCCTCAGAAGCCTCTGGTAATGCTCTCAAAATAGCCAAGAAAAATAGCAATCTTGTCTCTGTAAAAGCCATGGTGGATTCTTTCAGCAAGAACTGTTCTTGACTATGACAATTTTTCTTGCATAACACATTATATCAATTGTTAAATTCTTGGCCTACATGTAATTTCTTGTATTCTCCACTAAGCCTTTTAAAATTCACTTTGCATATGTTTCAGTTCTTAGAAACATATATAACAACTTGCTCTGCATTCACCTTCCCTTCCAAAATTGATTCACTCTGTGGAACATTTGGGTTAGTTTTAATTATCCACTGATTATAGAATCTCAACAAGTACAGAAAATGTATACTTCTGCTTTAATTGGTCCACCTTGATTGTAATTTTTTAATTACTGAGACAACAGAATAAAAACTGCAACAAAGGTCTTTATATCCCTGCAACCACTTTCCCTGGCTGGAATTAGCAGTAAATCCAAATTCCTGCAAATAGTCATTAACATTTGACCTCATCATGGCAAAAGTGTAAGGCATTCCAGATGCAAGTGCTGAATTTGTTGAGAATTGGTAGGGGAAATGAAGCCAGAATGCAT